TTTTTTCTAAACAAAGCTCCTGGTACAGACGGTATACCTCTCGAATTCCTGATCCATTGTGGGAAATCTGCAAAAACCTGGTTGTCTAAATTCTATACAGATATACTCAAAACAGGTAACCTACCAAACCTCTTTAAACAAACAAAAATCATAGCCATCCTGAAACCTGGAAAACCAACAGACAACCCAGCGAGTTACCGCCCCATCGCTTTACTCAGTTCAGCTTACAAGCTCCTCGAAAGACTGGTCCTGAACAAAATCGGCCCAAAGCTACTTCAAAAAATACCAATTGAACAAGCAGGGTTCAGGCCTCAACGAAGCACCACTGATCAAGTGCTCTCTATAACTACCTACATAGAGGCAGGTTACCAAAGAAAACTGAAGACGTCTGTGGCATTCATCGATTTATCGGCTGCCTATGACACGGTTTGGAAATATGGCCTCATTTATAAGCTCCTTGCCCTGCAAAGCAACCGCCTTACTCATAAATACTATGCTGAGCAGTAGAAACATCCGTGTAACCATGGACACTACAGTGAGCAAACAGAGAACGCTTAATAATGGCCTCCCCCAGGGCTCCGTACTTGCACCGCTGCTATTTAGTATGTATATAGCTGATATGCCCCCTACCAGATCTAAAAAAAATTGGATATGCAGACGACTGGGCACTTGCAACTCAAAGCTCCTTAATACAAAACTCCGAGCAATCCTAACGGAAGATCTGGAACGCCTGGTTAAGTACTTTAAACAATGGAGACTATAAACCTAACCCCAAAAAAACCGAGGTTAGCTGTTTTCACCTGAACAACAAAATGGCCCACACAAAACTTAAAGTATACATTGATAACCAACTGCTCGCGCACAACTATAATCCCAAATACCTCGGCGTCAACCTGGACAGAATACTCTCCTTTAAGAAACATCTTGAGAACACCGCAGCAAAGCTGAGAACCCGTAACAACATCATACAGAAGCTTTGCGGGACTACATGGGGCTCATCAGCAGGTACACTTCGGTGTTCAGCCCTTGGACTCGCATACTCCGCAGCTGAATACTGCTCTCCTGTTTGGCTGAATAGCGTTCATACAAAAATTATAGATACCCAGCTCAATGTCGCCATGCGTCTCATATCTGGAACGATCAAGTCTACACTTGTGGAGTGGCTTCCACTACTGAGCCACTACTGAACCTAATCTTCGTCGTCAGCATGCTCTGCTTAGAGAATTCCAAAAGCTGCTTAACAACCTGCAATTACCTATACACACATATGTCGCCGACGCTAATTCACATCGATTGCGCTCGAGAAAACCTCCGACTAGAGATGCAATAAACTTGAGTTCCAACAATTTCCAAATGAACTCCCAGTGGAAGAACATGCAGAGCGACAGACCGAACCTAATAATGAGAAACACACCATGCATCACAGAAACTCGGAGGTTTTGACCTCCCCCGAAAATCATGGTCAACTCTTAACAGGATAAGAACGGGTCATGGAGTCTGCGCAGATTCCCTTTATAAATGGAGGATGAGAACTGCTGAGTGCGACTGCGGCGCCGAGAAACAGACCATCCAGCATATGATTTCCGAATGCCCTCGGAGGAAGTATTAAGGAGATCCTCTAGACTTCGCCTTTGCAACACCAGCGTCGATTGAATATATTAATACATTAGATGTTAGATTGTAACATATATGTGATAATGTTGTGTATCAAATTGCCATACGCTAAATAAAAAAAAATTTTCTAAAACCAAATTGAGAGCTAGATATAATTGATTTGTTATCCAAATAATTTGCTATACGATCTTTAATTAAGATTTCAAAAATTTTACTTATTGTTGGTACTATTCTAATAGGTCTGTAATTATCTGAACCATTTTTATTTTCTTTTTTATGAAGTGGAATAACTTTTGATATTTTGAATACATCAGGCCAGTAAACCTCGTTAATACATTTGTTAAATATTATTGTGAGTGGTTCAACAATTGTACCTTAACAATTTTACTGTTAAAACCATAGTAGTCAACACATGGGAAATTTTTTAATCTGTATATGCATTCTTTCGCATCAGATGCCTATATTAGAGACATAAAGAACGAACTTGACCTTCTGGGGAGCCTGCTAAGATAGTAGTTTATGTCATGCTCAGAGTCTCCTATTGATTTCGATATAACATCTGCTATATTTGTAAAGTATTGGTTAATTTGATAAATAGTGTATTAAAAGAATAAATAGTGCATAAAAAGTAATGAACAGTGAATTAAAAGAACAGTAGTGGGCCCAACGGACCCGAGTTGCCCGGTTAAGTAAGCAAAATGTGTTGCCCGGATAAGGGTTAGATAAATTGAGCATAATATCAGTGGTATCATAACCAAGCCACAGCAAAGCGTGGCCCGGATCAGCTAGTCTTCATATAAAATTCGATCACAATTTTTAAAACAAAATCAATGAAAACCTAATAATTTTAATTATTAAAATTGTAAAATTATATCTGTAATCAGTTAAACATTCACTAGAGGAGAACAGCCAATTAAAAAAGATAATATTTACCACTCTTTGACAAGACAAGGATTCTGTGTTTAAATCAAATTTTAAAATAATAGATAATAATAGGGAACTTGCATAAAATTTTAAATTCGAGAAAAATGCCTTAAATCATAACAAAACATAATTTAAAATATATATCAAACAAAAAAAAAGTTGTTTTTGTCTTTAGTTTGGCCCCTAAAAACGATTAAAATCGAAAAAAATTCAAATTTTAGCAGCCAGTCCAAAACGCGTCCTCATTGGTCGTGACGTCATATAGTCAGAATGTTCAAAGATTGGCACTATTAATTCATTACGTTTGACATTCGCTTACTTGTTATAGTAATTTTATGGTATATTTCAGATTTATAAATCTTTAGATAGTTGCTGTGAACTATATATTTAATAATATTTGAGCGTTTTTGTTCAGATATATTTTTTAAAATGACCGAAGAGGGTTTTTCCAAAGGCCAGTCTGATAAGTTGTCCATTGTAAACATGTTTATGGTTGCCACATATTTTCAAAACGGTGAAAATTTTTCCCTGGGAGAAGTTCGGGGAGTTAAAGCAGATAAGTAAGACAGGCCATTCACATTCCGACTTGTGGTCCCACTTAGTAGGACTATTAGTTGGATGTTCGTCTCCACTCACGCTCCGACTTTCTATCCAACTACCGGTCCAACTTCAGTCTAGGTTGTTTTCACGATGGTGTACATCGCTTAACCAAAAAATGTATCGAATAAACACTACGCAAAATATAATTAGGAGGAGGAAAATGGCAGCATTGTGCTTGTTATCCTTATATGTATGTTATGATATGTGTGTTCAAAAATTAGGTTTCGTTTCTCTAGTTATTTGTCTAGGGCTGAACTAATTAATTTTTTCAACTCTTAATTTTTATGACGTTTTAAGATGTAGGAAAAAATTATAGTTTTTAAAGATTTGTGTAGGTATAAAATTTATATTTTATTTGTTTTAAACTGGAGCTGGGATTTATTTTAATGTGTGTGTGTCGTATATTTTTAATAGGAATAATTTTTCGTGAAATTGAAAGTTATTTTCTATTATTTTTTGCGAACTAGGGATCTTTTGCTACAACTATGATTTAATTTTTATTGTTTGTTAATAATTCTTTCGTAGCCAATCCGGAGTATCGAAAATTTACCTGTATGGGAATGTCCGAAATAGTTCTACAGAAAAGAAAATGATTTGCCCTAACAAAAAGGTAATTTTCGTGCAATTGAAAGTTTATTTTCTTCTGATCTTTGCGTAAAGTATTTCATAGAAATCTCATACGTAACAGGTGTCGAAGGTCAACTGACTGAGAATTTGAGGAAATTTTCGATCCAACCTGTGATCCGACTTCCAACTTTACCATTCACGCTCCGACTTCGTCGCCAGTCGGAAGTCGGATCTTCAAGTCGTCCCACTAGATGTTCCGAGTCGTACTACTAGTTGTCCAACTAATCCAACTAGCCCACTCACGGTCCGATTTCAGATCCAACTGCAGAAGTTGGACCACTAGTCGTACCACAAGTCGGAACGTGAATGGCCTGCATAAGTACATATACTCCTATTACATTAATTTTATTGTGATTATTATTCTCATAATAAGTATTTAATGATAAAACTTAGTACTTTATATTAAGTAGTGTCAATATTATATGTTTATGCTATTGTACTGAAATTTAATCAAATTAACTTATTCATCGTTTGCATTTAGATCTGGCAGAGAATCATATGGAGATGCAGCTGTAGGATGGGTTCAAGTAAAAAGAAATAACATGATCTGTACTGTACTGGTAATCTAATAAATATTTTGTTGGGGGTTTTAATGGTTGTACTTTTACACAATGGTACTAAACAACACTTGTAGTATTTACTTTTACTTTCCTTAGTAAAAACACACACAATTCAACACTCTCTATTCAAAAACTGTATCAAACACCAATATAAACAAAATAGTTTATACTTTTATACAAGACAGGAGACCTGACATACAGACAATACCACCAAGTGACGTCACAAGGGTTCGCGCGCTTTTTCGATCGTTTGAAATGATTTTTATACACGGAAGATTTTAAATTTGTATATGCTAAGTCATTATGAGTTTTTGAGGCGTGAAATTTTGGAAATCTTATTTCTAAATGAAGCTGAACGTTATTATATAATAAAAAAATGTGCAAGTTCCCTATTAAAAAAAATATAAAAATTAAGTTGAATCAACACATAAACAAGTGATAGAAAGTCAGGCAAAAAGAAAAGCAATTTATTTAAACTAACGATGATTCCACAATACAGAAACCAAAAATTGTTTTCTACAAATATAATAACTACACCTATAACAAAAAATTACTACTAAAAAAACGGATTTATTTTTCATCTATTAAGTTTTTTGGTAAAAAGTTTCTTATTTATATAGTATTGACCAATTTTTTGTTTCCTAATAAAATAAATAAATATATTTATGTACTTACATTCCGGAGAATACCCGCACAAATTTTAAAATAAAAATAAAAATCTCTTTAAAGTAATTTCCACTACTTCATTAATCCACTCTGATATTAAACAATAAACAACTTAAGTTTCCAGATTGCCTTTAATATATAGCTTCTCTTATCGGTATTCTTTGTGTCAACCTTTTAATCTGTGGTGGTGGGAGTAAATATAGTAAAGCGTGTTTGAAGAATACCAATATATCTGATAATTCTTTTATGGTGTCTTCTTGATAACTGAAGGTTGGCAACAATATCGGTAAAATGTTTTTACTTCAATTTCCTAGTTTATATTTCCCCATCCTAGTAGCAGTTATATTCAATTCGGCGTTTTCAGCATTCCAACGATTTTGTTAAAAATAGTTTGTTCCTATCTTATGTAACAGAGGAAAATATCTTAGGCATAATAAAGTATAAAACTAAAAACAAAGGATCGTGTGGTTTTGATGAAATATCAGGTATATTAATTAAGAAAATTGCGTCTCAGATTTTGACACCACTTGCCCACATTATAAATCCTTCTTTCAATACTAGTGTTTTTTCCAGTATGCTGAAAACTTCTATTATTTCACTGGTATAAGGTGATCCTGAATTAATTGCAAGTTTTCGACCATTGTCTGTTGCATCTGTGATATCTAAGATTATTGAATATGCAATGCTAGAACAACTTTTATTATTTTTACATATCAACCAAATTATCACAATTCTATCAGCAATTCTATCTTAGAAAGTACTTTAAGCTATATTAGATTACATCTATCTATATCTTTACTACATTGAATTTTTGCTAATTTAATTTGCTCCATACTAATACAGTTAAACATTGCGTAACAACACCAGTGGATCGCTCAAAGAAAAATAATCCGGTGAAACGGAAACACTGGATAACAGATGAAACTCTTAAAATAATTGAGAATAGAAGAAATCTTTGTAAACGTGGTGTACATAGTGAAAGGAAAAAGCTAGTTTAAGAAACCTCAATAAAGAAATAAAACGAAGATGTAATGCCGACAAAAACAGTACTATCAAAGTATATGCAAAGAAATTGAGAGACATGGTCAGAATAATCAGCCGAAAGATCTATTTAGAAAAATACGCTACCTGACAAGAGACTTCAGAGCCAGAACTTGGGCCATTGAAGATAACACTGGAACCCTGAGAACAAACAGAGAAGACATAGCAGAGACATGGAGGTCGTATTGCAGGGACCTATATAAAGATGATCAACGCCAAGAGCTTATTAGCCAAATCTCTGACGAGGTGGAAGAAGAACCTGATATACTCGAAAATGAAGTAAGACAGGCTATCAACAAGCTCAAATATAACAAAGCACCAGGTCCAGATATGATAACAGCAGAAATGCTTAAAGCCACAGAAAAAACCGGCGTAAAGTTACTTCATCTACTCTGTAACCAAATATGGCATTCCAAACAATGGCCTGAAGACTGGACAAAATCTAAAATAACGACCATACATAAAAAAGGCAGCTTCCATAAATGCGACAATTATAAAACTATCTCTCTTATATCCCATGCCAACAAGATAATCCTACATATAATCAATGAGAAACTGGAGCAAACTGGATTTACCAAAGGTTGAGGTACTCGAGAACACCTGCTGAATATAAGACAGATAATCGAGAAATCTAGGGAATTCAACATCCCACTATACATCTGTTTTATACATTACCGTAAAGCGTTCGACAGGGTCAAGTGGAGACACTTATGGCGAATACTAAAAGAAGTAGGCGTACCACAACATCTAATTACGCTTATAACCGAACTATATGAACACACTACTGGATCAGTTAAAGTACTTGACACACTTTCGAACGAATTTCATCCAGAACGGGGTGTCAGAGAAGGATGTATACTATCTCCACAATTATTCAACATATATGGGAAATATATTATGCGAAGAGCACTTGAAGGATGGGAAAAGGGCATCTCAATAAATGGTCATAAACTAAACAACCTACGTTTCGCAGATGGCACAGCCCTTCTTGCAAATAGTCAAGCAGAGCTGATAGAACTTATACGACTGATCGAAAACGAAAGTCAAATATTTGGTCTGAAATTAAACATATCAAAGACAAAGATCATGATAGTGGATAGACTACACACAATCATCCACACATAACCACAATTGACCGGTTCAAGGTTGTGAGCTCATACTTACATCTGGGATCATTAATAACAAACACAGGGTCATTATAAGAAGAGATTAAACGTAGATCTGATCTAGCAAAAGTTGCCACAGCAAAAATGACTAAAATATGGAAGGACTGTCAAATTTCAAGAGCGATAAAGATGAGGTTGATCAACTGCTTAATATTCCCAATACTGACCTACGGATGTGAATCTTGGACTCTGAGACAATCGGAGAGAAGAAAGATAGACGCCACTGAAATGTTTCTGTTGGAGACGAATGTTTCGAATTCCTTGGACCGACCGCAGAACAAATAATTCAATTTTAAGAGAGCTAAAAGTTAGCCAACGACTCTCTAGTAAAGTCCATCTCCAACAATTAAAATATTTTGGGCATGTTATGAGAGCAAACACAGAAAACATGGAAAGACTCATAACACAAGGAAAGGTAGAAGGCCGAAGATCACGAGGAAGATCCCCAACAAGATGGATAGATCAAATTACAGGAATATGCCAAAGACCTATGCATGAATTAAAAGAAATGACCAGAGACAGAGATCTCTGGAGACGGACAATACACGACATCACGTCGACCACTACACTCTCCTTGGGGGGTCAGGATTGAAGAGAGAATACAGTTGAGTATAGTATAGTAAGTTTAAAGTCAGTACGATTTTAAGTGTGCAGATTTACAATACAACTGTAAGTAATTACTTTACATTCACTTTCTTAGAAAAAGCGGAGCGATTGCTAAATCTTTGGTGATGCACCAGCTCTCTTTTTCACTTGTCTTCAGAAGAAATTAATGCTGCTACCGGATTCCTTCCAGAGTCATCTCTGGTTATACACCACTTTTCAGCCCATCCGAACATTTAACATTTACGAACATTGTTAACATTCAGTTAAAACATAATTTTTTAAATTTTTTTATAGTATTATTTTCATTACACTATTAAATTTAGAGTTTCCTTTATCTCGAGATAAACCCAGATAGCAAAGAGTGTACATTTTTTCTCCTTCATTGAATTTTTAGATAACATTAATCGAAGATTGAGATAACATTAATCGAAGTAAAGAATGCCATAAAGACTTTAAAGAACAAACATTCAGGGGGACCAGGAGGAATCCATAATGAACTAATTAAGTACGGAACGGACAAACTACACAGAATTATACACGAACTGTTCAGTAACGCTATAAACCTGAACGAAATACCAGATGAATGGTCCAAAGCATATATACCCTCGATACATAAAAAGGGAAATAAGAAGAAATGCGAGAACTACAGAGGCATCAGTGTAATAGCATGTATGGGCAGGTTATATGGAAAAATACTGAAAGAAAAACTGGAAAAATTTATCTCAAATAAAATCGGAGAAGATCAGGCGGGGTTCACGGCAGGAAGATCTTGCATAGACCACATATATACACTCCAACAATTAATAAAAAAAAATGGCAAAAAATAGACCAGTACACATGGCATTCATAAATGTAAATAAAGCATATGACACGGTTCCCAGAAAACAACTGTGGAACACGATGAATGAAATTGGAATAATTCAGAGGTTAATAAAAGCCGTAAAAAACCTTTCAAACAACAACAAGGTAAGACTTAAAACCTACAATAGATACTCCAACGAATTTAAGACGACAAAAGGCTTATTGCAGGGATGCTCTACATCTCCGACACTGTTCAAGATATTCCTCGAAGAAATATTAAAACCATGGAAAAGGAACTGTGAAGGGATGAGAATACCAATCCGGGACAACTTCTAGTACACATTAAGCTTTGCAGTTGACCAAGTGGTAACGGCTTAAGATGAAGAAGTTCTGTGCTATATGCTCCGAAAATTAGAAAAGGAATACACAAAAAATGGACTGGAAATAAACCTAGGAAAGACCGAATTTTTAACAACAGAGCAAGAACCAGTGAGAAACCTGGAAATGGACGATGATAGGGAAATTAACGGCACTGAAAAATTCAAATATTTGGGATTCATACTCTCAAAAAATTGAACCACCGAGTAAGAGATAACCAGCAGATTAGCCACAGACAAGAACATGTATTAAACAAATGAACGGAGTACTGTTGGATAGACAGATTACCAGAAATACAAAGAAGAGAATTTATAACACCTTGCTACGCAGTATAATGACCTGCGGAGCAGAGAATTGGGTAAAAAATAAACGAAACAGGTCCAAAATCACAGCAACTGAAATGGAGTTCATGAGAAGAAGCTGCAGAGTGACAAAAATAGATCACATCAGAAATGAGGAGATAAAACAAAGAATGGCAGAAGAACAAGACATACTCAGCTACATCGAAGGAAAACGTTTAATTTGGTATGGACATGTAAGAGGAACAGATCATACAAGGTGAATAGCAAAAATTTCGAATTGGAGCCCAATAGGAAGGAGGAAAAGAGGTAGATCCTGAAGATCATGGAGGGATGAAGTGGATGATGCCATGGAAAGACGAGACCTTAGAGATGGAGAATGATAGAACAGAAAGGACTGGAGACGTTGGCTGAAAGAAGGAAGGCGGCGACAGCTGTAAAAATCCTTATATAGATAGATTGAATTTTTAATTAGTAGCATCTCTCTTTACTGATCCATTTACTTTTACATTTATTTTCTATATATTGTACATGTTAAAAGCATTTGTTATCGATTTATTGTTTATTTTTACATGTAGTTAACCAAGTGTTATTGTTGTTACATTTTTTGTATTTTTTGATGCATTCAACCCCATATGTTAAAGCTAATAGTTTACCTATACACCAGGGAGTGGTAAGAGATCTCAAATTAAATCGATTAAATTAAAACGCAAACTTCTTCGTATATTAATTGTCCTTACTCGACGCAATGAGTACAAGAATGATGGCAATTTATATGGGTAAATTTTTGGTGCATAGTTAAATATAATTTTTCCCAG